CCAAAGAGTGCAATATTTTATGGTGAAAAAGTTTGCCCTAATGGATATTCTGTGGGTAGCCACCTTGACAAGGTAGTCGTGGTTTCGCAGCTGATATGATTTAATATTTTCCCACGTTATGGATGAGTTACTGTAGCAATGTTTCCTAATGACTTTGAAGAGTAGAAATAGGTTGCACTTCACTCTCCTTAACCACAGAGGCTCTAATTTCAGACGTGCACATCTGTCAACATATTCCACTTGTTGGTCGAACCCTATTATGCGTTTCGTGATGAATCTCTGGACACTTTCGATTTTTTTTCTGTCAACAGACCTGAGGTTACTAAATAGGAGAGCACAATATTCAAGTTTGGACGGATACATGTCCTATATATAGCTAATCCTGCTTCTTGGGTGTAGAAGTTACGCAGTACAAAGCCAGTAAGTCGTTTACAGTCAGATACAACCTTGTTTGCATGATCGGAAAAGGATAAATCTGAGTATGTTACCCCGAGATCTGTGACTGTGTTCAGTTTTGAGAGGAGCTTACCGTACATATATAGGCACATTATCGGTTTCCAGCGTCCAAGGTGGGTTACACCGCACTTGTCATAACAATAAATTGCAATGATACTTCTGATAGTTTTGTCTTCCAACGAACAGCGAAGGATAAGACGATGACTGCCGTATTGATGGCTACCACGAAAAATATGGAGGAGTTGGGTTTGAACAAACAACCATGAATTGATCGTTCAATCTTCACCTACATTGACAGCAGGAATTAGAGTAGCATTTGAACCCGCTCTAGAAGCTGATAGTATTGACGTTCGTGAATTGTGCGGAGTATACTAACGCAAGATCTTATACCAACAACTTCCATAGTATTCGTTTCTCTTGGTCCAAGGGCAAAGCAAAACAAGTGAATTGGCTGTCGAAATTACGAGATTTCGGGGCCAGAACGGACTGCGATTTGATTGCTCGATTGGCTAGTGATCGTGCAAGCACTTAACACGATGGAGTACCAAATGGCAGGGATGCTTGATCGGAAGCCTTCAGCTGAACAAGTCTATTAAAACAGCGAGAGTCAACAACCAATTTTCAGTGATGATTGCTGTGGTCAATAACTTTAAGGAAGTATTTACCGCTACACCGCAAACTTAATGCAGTAGGACGAGCTCTGTAGGCTAAAGAACTCAGTGGGTTAAGTCAATTAAACAGAATAACATACTTTACGAAATACGTTGCACTGACTGTGAGGTCAGCTACACGGGTCAAACTAGCAGATCACGGACAGTCAGATTGTCAGAAAACAAGAATTTAGTTAAGGTGAGAATGGCTGACCCGAGAGGATCAGTGATAATAATAATAAATTTATTCCTGTCTATGTAAGACACACCAGTTTTACGGGTATGGATAAAAATTATTTAAATTACATAAGTTAGATTTATGTTGAAATTACATGGTTTGTGTCTTTTTGATATTAGTTTGTGTGTACAATCCTCTAACTAGTCATTCAATGGAGCAGATTAGGAAATATAGAAATATTGTCTCAGCATTAACAAAAGACCCAGGTATGTGTTGGACGGGTTACAAATACTTGGACAGAAAAATAAAGTTTGAAGTTCATTCTTCCACACAGCTTTGTTGTATGCGCCATCGTATCTTGACTGTTAGAACACAAGAATTTAGCTAAAGTTAGAATGATTGACCCAAAGAAGACAAGTGATTTAGAAAAAGGGAGCTCATCGTTTGCACTGCATGCACTAAAGCACAAATACACAATGGGGTGTGTGGGACAGAGTCAAAATTCTAAAAAGTAATATAGGTAGGTGGAGAGAGACTCATTACTGAATCCTGGTTCATCGGGTCTACACCCAACACATGCAATAGAATTTACTCAACGCAAATTCCAGGGACATGAAAGATAATAATACCATCAGTCAAGCCAGAAGAAGATAATAAATGATCTTAAAATTCTGCTTCAATTCACGTAACATTCTAACAAGTTACTTATTTTTACTATAAAAACACCTTATTCCTCATCTGATTGTAATTGATCAATAACATTAATGTTATTATATCCGAATGTACCTTACTTTATACTGATTTTATTCAAATGTCTAATCAATTATTATTTTTATTTTTTCCTTCACGTTCCCCAGTGGAACACAGGGATCCACGCCATTGGCTTGAAGTTTCCGTAGCGTTGTTTACAGGATGGGGTTGCTAGCCTCATGTCCAACCTTTCCTCTTTACCAGAATTATTTCTTGCTTAGCGTTGGTCGGGGATCGAACCCCGGACCATGCGCATGGTTGGTGAGCGTCCTAACGGCTATGCCACCGACGCACAAATCAATTTTTATCCATGTATGTAAATGAAGCAAGAAAGTTGTGTAAGCGAGTGCCTTGAAATGTTTATGAGCAGCAATAAATCGTGCCCCAAACGTCATCAATTAACATTACTGTATAACACTGTGTGGTTTATCAAAATAAAATTTTATCTATAATGCTGTCATACTCTACCACCACAGATCCCAAGTTTTATATTTATAACAACGAATACATGTTTTGAAATTTATGTCAATAAGTATTCGATTGGTATGGCTGCATAATTTCATTATTTGCGGTTTTCCTCGAGTAGGCTCCTGATAAATAAGGAATTAACTCATGCAGACAACGGGTTTTATTTACGCGATTCACTGAGTCTACTGCAGACAGAGGTATCGATTTCACGATTTGCTGTGACTGCGTCTATGTAGGTGAGAAATTCTCTAAGAATGATGCTGTTGATTTTTCAGTGTAATTGCCACATCAGTCGGTGCAGGTATGCCAGTGGCTGCACTATAGACCAGCTGAACACTCAGAAGTACTTCTTCCAAGCTTTGGTATTGTCATTATTTGGAATTAACAAACTTCTTAGTGAAATAAGTAAAGCGAGGCTTAGTAAAGTAGTAGCAATGTAGTATACTTTCAAATCTGGGGCTACATACATAATTTTCAGGTATTGGTTTGGGTGGGGATTTCCTGTGGTCGGATGGGGAATTTCATCATGAGCTGATATCCGTTAGAGAACCATCGGAAAACAAGCTAGGAGTACAGGACAGCTGTTTCGTTAGCTCTGGGACGCACCATCAGTATTCGCTGACTAGGATGGTTCGAACCCAGGACGTTTTGGTTACAGGGCTGGCGAGCTCGTAGACCATGAAGCCACCGGGAACCAATCCAATGGGCCGTGAATTTTAACTTCTGCCAACTCATGACATAGTGCGACCAATTCACAGTGCCTTATTCTATGAGTTACTGCCATCACCTTCAACCTACTGCTACCTACTGGTCACGGCTTCCCTAGAATGGCCCTGTTCAAGCAGTGAGCTGGGTTTTTAGTGGGCCATTTGATCGGTTCCCAGTGGCTACATGGTCTACGAGCTCGGCAGCTTTGTAACGAGTAGGTCCAGGGTTCGAAACATCCTGGTCAGCGAATACTGATGGTGCGTCCCAAAGCTGACGAAACAGCTGTCCTGTACTCCCAGCTTGTTTTCCGATGCTTCTCTAACGGATGTCAGCTCATGATGAAATCCTCCAGGGTATATAGTTTTCTTTCTGCAAAGTTGTGCTTTTGTGAATTAAAATCTGTATCACAACACCTCAGAAACAAAACTCAAGCCTTTGCAGTGAAGACAGGAGTGAGACAAACGCTCGTGTAATCACCAAAAAGATTCTTAATTGAGATGGGATGGATAACGTGGTGGACAGTGGGGGGAGAGGAGAGGGATACGTTGGTTAGATTGGAAGACTGTTAAAGATCTTGACTTCACTGAAAGAAATGCTTGGGGATATTAGAATGCGTTGGGCACACGCTAAGACTTCAGATAATTGGGCCGCTGGAAGCGAGTTGGATGTGGTCTGGTTGTGGCGTGAGGGAGATTGTGTGTGAAGCAGATGAGAGCATCGGAGCAGTTGTGGAGCGAGCTCAATAGGACAGCTTAGAACAGGCAAGAATGTAGATATGCTCCTGAAGCCCAATTTTCATTGGTAACCCAGTAGAATAATAGCAACATCAGCCTCAACATATAGAAATGGTGCTTCTAAGTTACCTGAGCGAAATGATGCTGGGTTATGACATGTATGAGCTTTAGTGCTTCATTTAAAACAATACACCATCAACAGCATTAGCAGCTAAAAGTGAGATAGCGTCAATAGGTACAAAGTAAAAGAACTAAGTTTTGAAGACAAAATGGCAAGGCGAGAACTTAGTTTGTCACTCAAAGTAGGTGCGTTCTTAATTGAGAATGGCGCACCTGTAACGTAATGTAGCAGAACTTTCCAATCAGTGAAGCTGCTTGATCAAGTATTTTCAGCTAGGTATATCCACCAAAACACTGAAAACCGACGTTTAGTAGTGAATTTTGATTAGCTCGATGAGCAATTACCTCCTTTATAGGCCTTCATTAATCCAGAAGTCAACAAAAATAAAATAAGTATCACTATAAAAACACACCAACATGGGTAAAAGATCCAAGGAGTCGCTGAGAATCCTTCGCCACACTTACGATCTGTAAGTTAAAGTGCGTGCTCGTCAGTAAAGCAGTGTGGGTAGAAAACGATGTCCAATATGACATTGAGCCCGAAACCAGGCATCCACGGATTTTTACAGCAACAGCTCACTTTAGCCAAGCAGCTTGTCCAGAGATGCTGGATTCACACTAAAACATGGTCTGCCGGATGAGAATGTTTACTATCGCAGCTAACTTAAATCGTCTGACTCTAATCAATGTAATTTAAGTACAGATAACATGCTATGAAAATTCGCATACGTCAGTGATTGCTTGAGGCAATTCTACTTCAGCAGCAAACATTTTAGAAGGAAAATGAAAAGATAACGGAAAAACCCTCCAGGACATGTACTTTTGCTGAAAATATATGCTCATGGCTCATCGCATTTTTGTTTAAGTGATTGGCTTTCTAGGTACGCCGCGGCCCTAGTTCTCTGTTTCTGTAAGGTCAAATAAGGCTGCCGAATTATGTCTGGAAGAGGTAAAGCGAGGAAAGCCGCTGGTGGGAAGAAGCATACAAAGTCTAACAGAGCTGGTCTAGTGATTTCAGTTAGTAGAGTCCATCGGTATATGAAGAAAGGCCGTTATGCTCGAAGGACATCTATTGCTGCGTCAGTATATATGTCGGCCGTGATAGAATATTTGGTAGCGGAAGTAAATGAGCTATCTGGCAATGCTGCGAAAGCAAACAAAAGGTAAGAGTTAGTGTTTCAAGTTTCATGGTAAATTATATATTGGCACTTCTTGGGTCGATATGTGAAAGTCTGACTTAAAATAATGCGTTTTTTGTACGGCAAGGTAATGGAATAACTCAGAAACGATTATTTTGACTACCTTCTTGCAAACATAATGACACTCTTCCACACTTGTGCGTATTTGGAAGCTTAGGGATGTGTTAATCACTCTTTGACCCTTGTTACTTAATGTTACATCTAGGTGTGTTCGTGTGCGCATTTAAATGCTGGCAATCACTTAGGGATTCCACTTTTACGTTGAGTTATTGCTAAGCCCATTCGTCATGAAATGTCGCTGAATATTTGACTGGATAGGCGTGTAACAAACTGGATCTTACTGCTACGAAGTCTGTTATAATTGTCGGTGCACTGTGTCTCTAAGGGGCAAACCAATTATATTTGGAGCTATTCAGCAAATCAGATTTCGTGTTTTTGTAGTGACAGTCAGACATCCGTGTACTGTTTGACTCTCTTTACATTCACAAAACTTCCGTTTGTTCACTGTCTTCCGTAGCACTGTATCTGTAACCGGCGAGGTTAATAAATGTAGGTGGATCCCTACAACTTAAAAAGTCTTATGCTCAGTTTATGTCTGATTCTGTTATCCACCGGGGGATCAGTTTTTGGCAGTTGTAGCAGTGTACATCCGTGCTATATAGTCGTGCAGCTGATGGAGTTGACAAAAGTTTAATCAGCTGCCTAACTGTAAACGAGTTATGAGTATTATGAGGTTGCAGTCGAGGACAAAACAGTGTATTAGAAAAATAATAGATGGATATTAGCGGAAATCCCCTCATTTTCTGCTTGTAAACAAGGATGCTCCACAAATCAACCACAATATGTTCCCTCATGTCAGGCAGACTAGTAGAGATCAAGATTATGGTCTGTCGAGGTTGCGCAGCATTAGCGTTTTATTATAAATGAATATTTCAATGCAGAGGTTTGTTTGCATGAATATGGTGCATACCAGTTACTCGAAAATTCAAGACAGTCACCCTGCATATCCATAAACTGCAGACAAATAATAGTAGGCTTTATGAATTAGCGCGAAATCTAGATGTGGTCACTCTTGATTCTTGTCTAACCTAATGATCTTTCGACCAACACTGCTAGTTAGTGGTGACTTGATATGCGCAGCGTTGGTCAATTTATCTTCCTTACTTTTCAGTGCATCTCATTTCAACACAGTTTCTATGAAATGACTTCGTATCTAGTCGAAAATATGGAACGTTTCCATACTTTAACTCAGCGGACACATAACTGTTGTAACAGTGAATAGTCGAGCTAATCTTCCAAATATTAAGGATTCAACTGCTGAAATCAGTCGCTTCAGTGACAGACTGGTTTCAGCATAACACTTAGTACAAGAGTGCCCCAGTTCTAGTTACCACTCCATGAAGCACACAAAGATAGAAAAAGGCATTCAAAAGGACAGTGATGGACAGAGAGGAGAAGAATAGTAACATGAAAATAACAGGGTTTACAGGCTTTGATCCACATCAGTTGTCTCCAACCACTGGTTCTTAGAATTCCGTCGATCCCAACTTGGTAGTCTTCACCTCTCTACATGGCTAACTCAAACATTCCATCGACTGTTACCACGTTTTGATTTTGGCACCACTAGCTCTTTCGCAGTTTGATCTCATGTCAGCTAACGTTGCTCGTCGAGGAAGGTGGTGACTAAATATGCGTAACACATAACCTGGCCACCGCAATCAATGTAACTTCACAATCTCGTCGATTGATTCCCCTTGTCTAGCACTTGACGCCTGATCTTAATATTCACCACCAAACACAGGAGATAAATCTCAGACACCTATAATCAAACCATTTTGTATCTTCCAGTGTGCATGACCATGTCTCAGCCATAAAAGAGGACGTAGGAAACTGTTGATTAGTAGACGTCCTTTGATCGATATCCAGCCGGATACATATCTATACCAGAGATAATGCACATGCTACACCAGCTCTCTGTATCCGTTCTGAGATTTCGTGAACAATCAGTTCGTTTGCGCTGATTTTACTTCTCAAATAAGCGAAGTAGTTAACCCGCTCCATCAATTCACTCCTTATCCTTAAGCCAGGATTTCACCTCAGTGATGTGACATTTTTCTCAGAAATTTGTATCTGAGGCGATTGGTTAAACCTCACACATTGTGACTGCCTATTTCTCAGTAGACAAACAGGAAATGTAAATATGGTTTTGTTTATCATGAAGGTGCAGACTGACAAAGTTAAACTTTCCAAACCAATTTTTTGTGATTTACTCACGTGGTGGCAGCTGTCTGATTTACAGATAGGAAAAGTTGCCGTATATAAATAAAGAAGATGAAATGGTGTGACATCTCTTGTTGATACTGTAGTGTGTTATTTACTTTAATATCCTGAACCTGGGACGTAAACTATATATGTTTATTATTATTATTTGCACTTCAGGAAGACCATTACTCCAAGACATATCATGTTGGGTGTCCGAAATGATGCTGAATTGAATGAACTATTGAAGCATGTCCACATTAGCCATGGTGGTGTTTTGCCTTGCATTCATCCAGCATTATTAAAAAGAAAGGGTGTGCTTACAAATTCTCCTGGTCAAAGTGGAGCTGCCGTCTCCGGGGCTAATTTGTCATCTCGTCAAGCCTCGTCTGGTATTACCTCAAGTGCTATGGTGACTTCATAATATTAAAGTGAACAAAGCATGCTATGCGTGTGTGTATGTTCGTAGGCTTCTCCAGTCCTCTTTTTAATCGATGATCTGTCAGGGTACACTTTCATTGTATTTTATCCATCGTATAAGTAATAATAGTTATTATTCTATTATTTCACTATTAAATCTAGGTTTGTTATATCTAAATTTTGACTGGAGTGTGGAGTGGAGTGAAGTGAATATTTGTATCGATAAGACTAATGTTTCAAGTCGCTTTTAATTTGTTATCCTTATATATTATCGTTTCTGTGTATTTTTACGTTTCCTCCCAATCAAGGGCTAGCAATCTTCTCATTTTTTGTGTAATATTGCCTAATATTTATATATTTTTTAATCTTGTTGCTTTAATCGCATCTGTCTTCCTGTTCTTATCTTTTCTCTTTTTGTTTTATTGCATTGTATTTAATAAAACATCTAATAGTTTTAAATTTTCTAATGTATCGTTTCCAGTATGTAGTTAATAAATCAAGATGGCTAGGGATTTGTTCGATGGCGTCTGCCAGTTGAAACACTCCAGGCTCTGAATACTCGATAGTTGTTGGTTGAAAGAAGTCTGTTGAGGTGTTTTGATCACATGTGAATGAATAATCCTCGTCTAGGCATTGATGAGAACAACATTAACAAGTAGTTCAGCAAAGAGTCTCTTTTTCGGCGAATTCATTTTCTTTAACTGTAGAGCTGCAATTATATACAATATTTCCACGAAACAGGATACTTAATATTTGTCAATGCATAGTCTTTTATGAGTTGCAATCTGGATGCACACAGGAATGTAAGATGGTATGAGATTACGTAAGAGTTTTATTAATAGATAAATTTCTTCAAACTCAGTGAATCTAACGTACAGAAGTTCGATGGCGATGCTGTTTTTATCAAAGTAATTCAGCGAAATGTCACATTTTGAGCAGCTAATAGCCTCCAGATGCTCTGGAATTTTATGATGTCTCGTTCGCAGCACAACTGTTCAGATAGTTCAATGAGGCTTTCATGTGTAGAGGTAGACAAAAGGTTTATGGTTAAAGAGGTAAGTTTGGGGAACCGTCAACATTTCAAGCATGAAGACGTAGTACAACTCAAATGAAGTGCATTTGCGAAAGACACGACAACCAACTCAATGAAAAACAGAAGTGTTATGTTAGTGTCTCATAGAGTGTTGTAACAGAGTTGTAATCGCTGCATTACTTTTTATTTGTGAAGAGGTGGGATGGTGTCTGTCATATTTGGAAGCATGGATCACCTTGAGAATGGTAACTGCAGCCAACAACTCAGAAAATAGTTAATTACGGTAACCATCTTTTTTCTATTTGTACTGCTTGGTCGTACAGTTCTCCTACTAGTCCAATGTATCTCTCGGTGTGGTATATGAAGTCTCACCTGCTAACTCGATCTCGTGCAAGACACCTTTGAATGGTTCCCTCCTCTAATTTAGTGACTTACAATCATTTTAAAACCACACTCGTTCATGAGTATTAGCGTCAACTAGAAGAATTTAAGCATAATGAGCGTAGGACGCTGACGAGTCAACACTTAAGCCAACAAAGGAACCCGATATTTAAAACTTTATTTGGATAGTCTGCGGTGTTTTATCCTACTATTGCAGAAGAAAAGTTGAGTTCACTTCGCTTATTTTCGAGATAACCCTAACGAGTGCACAATGTGGTTGCTTTTCTGAAAGCGAACACGCCTTTCCTTGAGTAGTGACAAACTATTGTGCAATAGTGTACTTATTTGTTGATGAGTGATAGTGATGGTATCGAGGTAATAAGTAACTTTACGGGTTGGACGTTTTTTGACTGTCGTCAATCTAGTGATAATGTGTTAACAGTTAATGGAAGCTTCGTGTTCCTGGTAATGTGATGTGCCAAGTTTGCAATTATTAAGCGTTATATATATATATATATATATATATATATATATATATATATATGCGAAGTGGGCTTTATTGGACAGTCTGTGATGATATTCATCCTAAATAATTAGATTTCAGTGAACTTTGGTTGATATGAGGGTTATTTCGTCACTAACTATATGACCACTGCAAACCCGGGACTTATGGGCACCTACTTTTTTCTAGTTTGGGGTACCATAAAGAATTGGTTCAGGGACCTCCTACTGACTGGTGTCAACTTAGCACGTAACAAGAGAAAAGATAATAAACAGAGATATCAGACAAAAATAGTTATATCGAAGAACCATACAGTTACAAGGAGTGGTTGCATCTGTGCTAGCTATTGAGAACGATTTTGAGCCATATCACTAATTGTCTTCAGTTTCCATTGGTTTTATATTCCCGAGGACCCCAACCAGGAAGTCTTTACCTTCCTACGTGGCTTAAACTAACCGTTGTGAATCTGACTGACTGATGAAGCCATTTTTTCGGTTGACCACCAACCACTAGCTCGTTTCGAACTTGGTCCTATGTCAGTTTCCATCGCCCATTGTCGGGGAAGGCGATGGCTAGACAAGCGTAACACATGTTCTAACCATCTCTCTCAATCGATACAGCTTCACAACCTCACCGGTTGACCTTCCCCCTTACCTAACATCCGATGCCTAACCTCATTATTGCTCACCTTATTATACCGCTTCACACAGGGGATAGAGCGCAGACACCTATGATCAAAGACAGATAGCTAACCAGTCTTTCCATGCCTTCCACTTTTAATGGCCACGCCAAGTACCTCACCAGTTGTTTCTTCAGAAACCGAAACCATTTGGGTGATAATAATTAAGAAATCTATTGAAGCTGTACAATCTACACCAGTGATTATTATACCAAGATATTTAGGGGATGTGTCGCATTTAAGGACTAGTTGTTGATCAAACGCTAAGTGAAAACAAACTGACACGAATCTCTATTCATTAAAGAATCGCTGTAAGGTAACACATTTCGACAATTACTTTGAAAACACCATCATTTGTAAGTATTAGATGTGGCTATTTATTACTTGTCTGTAAATAGATGTTAGCAGGTGGACGGACGCACACTACACGAATTTTGAATCAAATAAGACGTTTAATCTCCTCACTAGTTAAACACCCTGATACAACATTTTTGTTATTTCTTGGTTGATTTCTAGAAACTTTCTGAAGTCATATCTTTAAGTTATCACCCAGTCAGTGAAATCAACTATAGTTAGTTTAAGCCAATGGTTGGAAACAATTGGTGATATGGCTCAAAATCGTTGTTCTCAGTGATAGCTGGGGCAGATGCATCCACTCCCTGTGACTTATGATTTCCAGTGGTTAGGACCCTCGCCGACTATGCACATGGTCCGGGGTTCGATCCCCTGCCGAAGCACACCCGATATCTATGGTCGGCCTGCAAAATTTGGGCTACCGATATCACATGCTGAAAATTCCATACCTGTATCAAAAATACGGTGTAGCATCAAGCTGTAATCAAAATCAAATATTGTTCTTCGTTATTCCTACTCCTTTGTCTCACACCTCTGTTTTCTGTCTCTATTTTGCATTTCTTCTCTTGCTCTGTGTGCTACATGGAGTGTGGCGACTTTGAACTGTCGCCACAGACAGAAGTTAGTACACAAGCAAACTATATAGATTATTCATCAAGGATGGTTTTGGCCTCTCAACTATTCAAAAAGAGGTAAAAATCTGATCAAAGTCTTGCACTGGTAGCTCAAAGTTTTAGATCTGCATGGGTAGTACGCAGAGCTTTAACTCGAAACAGCAGAGGTATGTTCACTTCTTTAATCTATACACATCTGTGGTGAGATCATGACTGGAGAACTGCATCCAATGCTTTTGTTTCGTATACAGGTTCGCAGTAACAATAGTAAATCAAGAAGCATGAAATGTTATGGTTGAAGTCGAGACAAGTCACCGTGATTCTTCTACTAGCTATTGTATATAACCATGATATGTCGTTGGCTAAGTGGTCGCCAGCAGCGTGAATGTTTCGATTCTCAACCGATGCACTATTAGACGTCAGCTAGCTTACTTAGGCAACAGTAGACTTGGGGAAAGAAATAGCTATCCTACTTCCTTAAAAACAAAACTATTACTACTCAAACTTCAAGCCTAATATTGCAATCGAAATACAAAGATATCAGCACTCTTCCGCATATATACATCAGCGATAGTCTAACGTTTACTGGAACCTACGAAAAATAAACAAAACCCAAAAACTGAAGGCCAAGATGTTAATAAGTTATTCAAGTAGTGAAAATTGTCTGCCTTAGCGACATGATGACCTTTTGCGTTTCTTCTGTCTATCCATTTGGCCGTATGCCAAAATTGTTCACAATAGAATTGGCACACACACACACTGAGAAAATATGTGTACGAAAGACATAAAATTACTTCACTCCCACAATTTTAAATTAGCAGATGCGATGGTTTGATTGGATACTCTTGAGTAATTAGTGTAATGTGTCTGGTCTTTTGTTTGGTGCAGACTGAATTCCTAGATATATATATGTATGTCGTAACACTTTAAACACCCTGTAAATCTCGACGGCTTATTTTACTATGACGCTCTGACAGTATGCTTGCTAATGGACAGAGGTTTGTTAAAATTGTACACTTTATTGTTATTAGAAAAAATTTAGGTTGTATGCAGCTGACAAGAACCAACGAAATAAAATGGATCCAGATTATTCTGTGCCAATGTTCCTTCTTTCTTTGTTCAGACTGAATTCTTATCAGTCAAGTTTGCAATGTGGTCACCATTCTAGGTGGTTCGTCATCACGGTGGGTTGTTGATATCAGATTACAAGTTCCAAGTAGCACGAAACCTAAGTTCAAAGCTTCTTACTGATTGCCCTCAACCATTTTAATATCAAACTTGATAGTTATAGATCGATAACAAGTAACTTAGGATGATCTAAGTGCAGTAAATTCTCGTGTCAAACAAGATAAAAGAGTGAGCAATTTTACCACTACACATTAAGTTCGAAAGCGTACTAAATCGGAATGTCTTGTCACTCAAAATAATAATAAAAATGATT